GGTGGAATCATGCTGATTCTGTTCCTGTTTAACTTTACCACTAGTAAGGAACTGGATAAATTATCAAAGCAACCAGCCTCCAAGATGGTTATCCTATTATTACTCAAATTTCTAAAATGAACAAGATAACAAAAAAATTTAGTGAAACAAAACATTCTACCACCTGACAGCTACCCCAAAGGCTATGAGTGAGCCCAGCTCTACCACTTAGCAATTATATCCAACTTTACAAATCATTAAACTGCTCTGTTTCTTCAACTACAAAATAAGGATAATACCTACTTCATTTAGGTTCAAACAGTTAAGTATGAATATGCTTTGTAAAACACTAGCACACATGCTGATTATCATTATATAGGATAAGCTATTGTTTACCAAACCAATCCTGTTTACCTTTTACAAAACTGTTAGTAAAACACACCCAGAATTAAACCTCAAAAATTACCCTGGATACTTAATATTTTCTGACAACAGGAGAGAAAAAACAACCCAAAAAACTGACCTCAGATTTGTTTCTCATAAGCATATCAAAATCACAATAAATAACAGAGATTTCTGGGAAGATAAGTATCAATAAATAATAAACATGCACTTTAAAATAAATCTAGTTTAAACTACTTACAGGTATTTAAGCTGCATTCGAGGAAATGAAGAGGTCTTGATTTCTGATATTGTATTTGAACTGAGATCTAAATTCTCGAGGGCAGGGTAAAACTGAAATGCTTCTGCGTTTATTTCTGGGATTATATTATGGACTCTATAAAAAAAAAAGATTGTAATGAAGCTACTGCCAGAGACCCACCCCAGGCCATGAGGATGTTAAATAATCAGGATCAACAATAAGGGTACCAAAAACAAAAATTTAAATTTAAAAACTGTACTACTCATAATTTTAAAGATATGAAATCTGCTTTACTTACAATGAGAGTAGAGTAATATTAAAGGTTGGTTCTCCAAAATAAGGGATTTCTGTTAGCTCATTATAATTCATTTTCCTAGGCAAAGGGGAAAAACAGATTTCAAAGTTTAGAGGGGGAAATGTTGCCTCTTGAGTTCTGGTTTCTGGCTAATAATTATTCTTTAGGATAGGTGCCAAATTTGAAAAAGGCAGATGACTCAGAATGAATTAGACTAAATGCATTATACTGAGAAATAAAAGATTTTAATAAGAAATGTTTTTTCATGATGTAGATCTATGACTGATATCACTATTTTCACATCAAGTATTTTTAATCTCAGCAACGTTCTTGAATAGTTTACTTTTCTGACAGCTAATTTCAGTCCTTCTTAAAGAAGAAATAATTAACCTATCCATCTCCTTATACATTTATAGTAAATAAGATAAAAAATTATAAATTAAGCAAATTTTTAAAATACACACACAAACACACACACACACATTTTTTAAGTTATTCAAAGTTAGAGAGGGTTGCTTGAATCCACAGATGAATCTGCGTGAGAGATGGAGCCTATGATTAATTTTACAGATGACATGACATGTCACCCTCTGATCCTAGCAGCTCTTTAAACATAATGTCTCCAATGTTTTAGTAGCAAATCTAATATAATCACATTTCATTAACCTGGTTTTCAATCACTAAACAACCTCAATAACCTAAGACTACAGAAACCAGAAGTAGAAGGCCTCCCAGAAACCAGCCAAAGTTACAAAGTCCAGGTCATAAAGCTCACGCATTTCCCACTTTCTTCAGTGACTATTCTCTTAGCCAAATAAGCTTGTCAATAGTTTATTCAGTGCACAGCAGATCAAAACCAGTCAATTTGGAGCAGAGACAGAGGGAATTCACGGACAATGAGAGCATGAAGAAGTTACCCGTCAGCAAGAAGTTAAAAAGAAAAATAAATCTGAAGGTTCTGGCATTTTAGTGTACAGGCAAACAGGCCTCAATAGTTGTGCCTCTGGAAACATCACAACGCAGTAACTGATACTAATAGTATTTTAGAAAATTCCCTCCAAAAAATACATAATAATACATCTCAGTATTAAAGGAAAAACTTCAGTGAAGTGGAAAACTGAACTATATTAACCACCACATTACAGACAATACAAAAAAAACTGTATTTCACGTAAATCTTATTTTGTTTTTTAAGTGGGCTCCAAGCTGCGGATAGATAATGAAGCTACCTGAGATCAAGAGTCAGACACTTAACCACCCAGGTACCCCCACGTTACTCTGCTTTAGACGTGATGCTTGGATCTTAGACAAGTCAAGACATAAAAAAATTTACACAACAGAGAATCTCACTGGCTGAAACTGGCAAAAAACAAGCAAAATTATTTACTCTGAAAAGGGGGTAAAAAATCTTACTTTTGATCCCAAGAAAGTAGACAGAATAATATTTCTACACAGTTTGCAACTAATCACCAACCTAATGGTGCAATGCCTGGGGAGTCTGTAATAGTAGCAAAGCCAAAGACAACAGTTTAGGTTTTTAAAAAGTGTCTTTTAAATTTTTTCTGTCAATTTTTTTGACAGCATTTCTGGATTAAACATCCTCAAATTCATAATTCATCAAATCCACCGCTAAGAGTTTAATTTAAACAAATAAAAATAACTTACACTTCTTGTAATGTTTGAGATTCCAAGCTGATGTTCCAGTTAGACAACCGATTATGACTCAGATCCCTAATGGAGGACAAAAGATCATTCTTAATTTAGTGTTGGAAAAGAGACTTAAAAAAAAACTAAACTAAAACATAATCTAAAAGCCCTATCAAATGTGAATTTGAATAGTACACACAAAAAGAAGAAATGTTTACAAAGCATGAATACCTAGATTTTAAAATAGCTATTTTATTTTTTCTTCATTTTTATGAGGTTGTTTTTTTTTAAACTAGGGAATATATTCACGTGGTTCAATAATCAAAAAGTATAAAAGGAAATAAAGTTTAAATCTCCCATCCTGTCATACGATTTCCCTTCCCAAAAGCAACAAGTGAAAATACACCATTTCTTGTGCAGCCTGCCAGATATTTTATGCATGCACCAGGAAATTTTTACAAAAATGGTAGAATAATTTACACACTAATTTGCCCTTAGTCTTTTCACTTAATAATACAACTGGGTAGATCATTTCACAGCAACATTAAAGAGTTCTTTCATCCCTTTTAGTGATTATCTTATACTTTTATTGTAATGGACTACACTGTATATATTTTTGAAAAAATACACTTTTTAAAGTAACATACTGCATAATATATTGTATTATGTAATACTGTAATGTACTGCATTATACTTTAGCAGTAGATAAAAGAAGATCGATTTCACAAGTCAAGATAGTGAGCTTCTATATTAGAACTGAGGTTGACCATATCCTCGAAAGAGATACGGTCTTCCTAAAAAAAAGCAATCTAGCTTTGGGGAAGAAAAAATCCATCTCCAAATTATGTTAATGATGATGATTGGTGGTCAGGCACTCCTCTATGCACTTTATACATATTAACTGCCTAAATCCACACACTACCTTATGACGCAAATACTTTTACAGTCCTCACTTGCCTAAGACAGAAACAGGCAGAGAGATTAATAATTTGTCAATCCAAGGTCATACAGCTAATAAGTGAGGAAGCCATAAACTTGAAATTCCATCTCACTTCTAGCAAGTAGTTTGTTAGATATAGCAGAGATTTCACTGAAATTAGTCATGGGTCTAAATATTTAAATAGGCTTTAAAAATTCACCTTGATGCTTCCTGGCACCTTTACAAGGCCAAAGTGGAATCCAGCCCACACAAGCTGTCTGCCCAAAAGACGTATTACACGTTACAATATGGCTAGCAATAGGGGCACAGCAGAGAAACATAATGATCACTCTCTCTCCCTGCGCCACCACAAGAAGCTGACAGATGCATGCAGGTCTGAGTGATGTGTCTATCAGAGCAGAACAGTTTGCTCTCAGCCAGATTCATGTCTGTCCATCTGTAAAACTTAGCCACTTTCATTTAGCTTAGTTTACACCATAAGATAACTAAAGGCAGATGAAACCATCTCTTTTCCACAACAGTTCTAACACCTTTATTCTAAGACACCTGGCACCAGGTATCAGCTCAAGAAAACTCATGACTAGGGAGGGGGTATGCACTGGGAAATTTTAGAGATAAAAATAGGAATTTGCTCCACATAAAAACCTTATATTCAGATGCTTTCATCCAACTCACACTTGCTGCTAAACAACAATGGATTTTATACAAGTGAAAAGAGACTTATTGTGGCATTTCAACTAAAGAAGAAATGCAGCTCTTGTAATTTAAGTTCAACAGTCCACATTCTGCTCCAAGGTGGCTGGTCTGGCAACTATCATCTGTGTAGCAGGCTAGCGTAGTATGATTTAATTCATTGCTGATGCTTCCTAAAATTTCATTTTTTCCCTTTTACAGATTAAGAGCTTTCATTTTAATCATAACAGTGCTTCTAATGCCCTCCCAAACCCTAATCTCTCTGACAATGTAACTCTTGACCATAATCGTCTACAGTTCTCTCATGGATGTCAATGACCAGCTAATCACTTTTAAAGAAAACTATTATTAAAGAAATCTAAAACAATCAAGTTAGCCTAACTTACACATGGTATAACCTACTTTGTATTAAGTATCAGTGAAAACTGTCCACTGTCTCTACTGGGGGAAAGGGTAAGATTTTCTCTATCTCTTTGAAGAACCTCTAAAGGTTTTGTTTTTTTTTTTTTTAAAGATTTTTATTTATTTATTTGACAAAGAGAGACACAGCGAGAGAGGGAACACAAGCAGGGTGAGTGGGAGAGAGAGAAGCCGGCTCTCTGCTGAGCAGAGAGCCTGATATGAGGCTTGATCCCAGGACCCTGGAACCATGACCTGAGCCGAAGGCAGACGCTTAACGACTGAGCCACCCAGGTGACCCTCTAAAGGCTTTTTGACAGAACCCAAAGGGTACTGGAAAGACTTTGGAGCCTCTCTACAGGATAATGCTGTCTTAAGAATACATGCCTCCAGTGCTGCAAGCCCAATCGCGTGCTGCTCGCTAGGGGTGTTGCCTCAGAGATCAGACTGGCTGGGCTCGATAAAGGATTAACACAGGCTTTTGGCTAGAGATTTACTACACCTGTCCTTGGAAAAGAAAAAACATAAAAAGAAACAGCCAGTTCAAAGACCACATTCCTATTTTATGGATGTAAAATGTCCACATTGTTACAAGATCACCCCGGTTTTCAGCCATGCTCAGATGGTGGTTACTTGTGTAGTAGGCTGTTCAACAGTGTTGTGCCAGCCAACAGGAGGAAAGGTCAGACTCACAGAAGGGTGTTCTTCATTTAGAAGAAAGCAACACTAATGATCCACACAACCTCCTGAATTTGTATCATATCGCAGAAAGCCTCATCAGTTCAGTAATTCCAGTTAATCTACCAAAATAATGTAATTATGTTTAATTTTGTAAGGTACACAATGGTGATCTCCTATTTTGGTCTCAGTTTTTTTTTAGATTTTATTTATTTGACAGAGAGAGATACAGTGAGAGAGGGAACACAAGCAGGGGGAATAGGAGAGGAAGAAGCAGTCCTCGATGCAGGGCTTGATCCCAGGACCCTGGGATCATGACCTGAGCCGAAGGCAGACGCTTAACGACTGAGCTACCCAGGTACCCCTGGTCTCAGTTTTTCAATAAAGTTTTGATTATGGACAAAAAAAAAATAAGAATATATGCCTCAGAAGTCAGAACCCCATAATGAGGCTCTCTGGACCCTTCTGTGACAAATCCACATTAGGTGGCATTTTAAAACACTAACAGTGAACTAAAATACACTCCCAAAGTAGCACCATCGTAGAAAGCAACTACGGTAGATCCCACACTCCCCCTTATCCACAGTTTGGCTTTCTATGGTTTCAATTGCTCAGTCAACCATGCTCTGGAAGTAGATGATCCTCACGCTAGGTCACAATGCCTACATCATTCACTTTACTTCATCTCATCACATGGCCATTTGATCATTTCACATCATCACATCATCACAAGAAAAGAAGGGTGAGTACAGTAAGGTGTTTTGAGAGAGAGACCACTTTCATATAACTATTACCATATATGGTTATAATTGTTTATTATTGCTGTTAATGTCTTATATGGTGTCTAATTTATAAATTAAACTTTATCATAGGTATGTATAAGAAAAAACATAGTATATATATAGGGTTCAGTGCTATCTACGGTTTCAGGCATCCACTGGGAGTCTCAGAATATATCTCCTGTGAATATGGGGGAAGGGAGACTACTATAGTATAAATCTGTATAGCTGTTTGAGTTATCAAAATATCAGGTACCTAAATTACATGGATTGATCTGATCATCAGGTAGTCATGCAATAAACATTTATTGAACCATGTGCCAGGCCCTATGCTAAGTACTAGGGTTACAAATTGTCAATTTTAGTAACCTTTTTGTCTTTTTGCCATTTTTTTAAATTTTTTATTGTTATGTTAATCACCATGTATTACATCATTAGTTTTTGATGTAGTGTTCCATGATTCGTTGTTTGTGCATAACACCCAGTGCTCCATGCAGAACGTGCCCTCTTTAATACCCATCACCAGGCTAACCCATCCCCCTACCCTCCTCCCCTCTAGAACCCTGTTTGTTTTTCAGAGTCCATTGTCTCTCATGGTTCGTCTCCCCCTCTGACTTACTCCCCTTCATTCTTCCCCTCCTGCTATCTTCTTCTTTTTCTTTTTTCTTAACATATGTTGCATTATTTGTTTCAGAAGTACAGATCTGTGATTCAACAGTCTTGCACAATTCACAGCGCTCACCATAGCACATACCCTACCCAATGTCTATCACCCAGCCACCCCATCCCTCCCACCCCCCCCACCACTCCAGCAACACTCAAGTTTGTTTCCTGAGATTAAGAATTCCTCCTATCAGTGAGGTCATATGATACATGTCTTTCTCTGACTGACTTATTTCACTCAGCATAACACCCTCCAGTTCCATCCACCTTTTTGTCTTTTTGAAAAGCAGTATTTAAGTACTCAGGTAGAGTCACTGGAAAACTAAAGATAGATTCAACATTGACTTAACCATTCCCCCTCTTCCCTAGAAATGTATGCATTCTTTTATACCTAAATTTCCCTCTGTAATTTAATCATGACATGTGCATATGGGAGTGCACAGACACACCCTTGCTTTCCATAACCATGCCCTTCCCATTTCTTTTTTAAGTACTTCAAGGGGTGCCTGGGTGGCTCAGTCGGTTAAGCGTCTGCCTTCGGCTCGGGGTGTGATCTAGAGGTCCTGGGATCAAGCCTCTCATCAGGCTCCCTGCTCAGTGGGGAGCCTGCTTCTCCCTCTCCAACTGCTGCTCCCCCTGCTTGTGGTCTCTCATGTGTGCTCTAATAAATAAAATCTTTAAAAAATAAAAAGTAAAGGGTGCCTAGGGGGCTTAGTTGGTTAAGCGAATGCCTTCAGCTCAGGTCATGATCCTGGAGTCCCGGGATTGAGTCCCGCATCAGGCTCCCTGCGCTCAGCAGGAAGTCTGCTTCTCCCTCTAACCCTCCCCCCTTCTCGTGCTCTCTCACTCTCTAATAAATAAAATCTTTAAAAAATAAAAATAAAAAATAAAAAATAAAAAAATAATAAAGTACTTCAAAAAGGCTGAAGAAGACTAAAACTGGAAGACTTTGACTATCAGATGTAAAACTCTTAGACTGGGGCACCTGGGTGGCTCAGTCGTTAAGAATCTGCCTTCGGCTCAGGTCATGATCCCAAGGTGCTGGGATCGAGCCCCACATCAGGCTCCCTGCTCTGCGGGAAGCCTGCTTCTCCCTCTCCCACTCCCCCTGCTTGTGTTCCCTCTCTCGCTGTGTCTCTCTCTCTGTCAAATAAATAAAATCTTTTAAAAATAAATAAAACTCTTAGATTAAGAATTTGGATACTTAAAGTCTCTCACCATTCCTCCCAGTGGCAAATCATTAATTCCATTTAATTTGCATAAGCTAACGCTGGTTTGTCAGGTTTTGGGTTTGTTTTTTTTTTTAAGCAAAAGTCCTGAAAATGGAGAACCGTCTTTCAAATATTTTCAACTTGAATATCCCTAAAATGTACTTAAGAACTTGAAGTAATCTAATGCTTGATAAACAAAACCTAAAAGAGTCTAGCTTTGTAACAGTCAATAATCCTTCATTTTTAAACACCACTAAAATCTGAATATTTATGGACATGATGCTTGGAGAGTAAAGATCTCAGAGAAGGTCTTATCTCAATGTTATAAACTCAGCTCCCACGCATGCTAATTTACAGGGATGTAGCTGTAATAAGTATTGAATTATTAAAGTTCTTGATATCATGTGGAGTCAGAGGTGCCATTAATATAGTCATTTAGTACCATCAGGGTGTAAATAATTTATAGAATGTACAGAGCAATCACAACACTCTGAGGAGGGGAATCAAGGTCTGCAAGCTAATTGCAAAAAAGTCCTACAGCAACACAGATACAGAGGTTTTCTTCTGCCCAGTCACGTGTGTACACTTTTGAGTCATCACCAATCTTTTTCATTTTTGAGAATCTGCAGCACTAGTAGACTATGCTGTGAACTTCAACAATAACAATACTTCAATGAAAAGGGCCCTTCACAAAAGTTAAAAGTTAAGAACATATATCCAACAGTTTAGGTATGTCAATGCTTTACATATTTATCCAGCATAATTTGTCCGTTTGTTTTTTTTTTTTTAGAGAGAGAGCTCGGGGATGGGGGGGAGGACAGAGGGGGAGAGAGAGAATCTCCAGCATTGAGCCTGGCGAGAGGCTCGATCCCACAATCGAGATGACCTGAGCCAAAATCAAGAGTTGGCCGGTTAACCGACTGAGCCACCCAGGAACCCAAGACAGGGATTCCTGTTCACAAAACAAAGGTCAGGGGCACCTGGGTGGTTCCTGGAAGCATTTGTTTTTTGGCTGAATGAGAGATGGCTAGAGATATTGGGTAAATTATCTTTAGGATAAACGAGATTTTATTATAGCATGAAGCATAATGTGATTCCAAATTAAATTTTCTCTCAATTTGCTCTATTTATTTGTAATACACTGTACAACACTTTTTATATGAACCCAAAAAGTTGGAGGTGGTAGGGAGATGGCAGCTTTCATTTCAAGAATCAGAGGCAGGTTTTATTTTCTTCCATGATATTTTCACTGGGTTCTTAATGACTGAAAATATTGCTTCACTGGAAGGAATACAATGACAAAACAGGAAATAGGAATCCTACAGTTACATTTTTTAATTTAAATTCAATTAGCCAACACATAGTACATCATTAGTTTCTGATGTAGTGTTCAATGGACAGTTAAATTTAAGAATAGTTTCCATGTGGCCAGTCTGGGGCCTTGGGCAAAGCATTCAACCTCTCTAATCTTCTAACATTAAATAAGAACACTGTACCGATCTCACTCAACTGCTCAGGAAATTAAAAGAATATATATCAAATGCTTAGCATACAAATGAGTATGTATATAATAACTTATTACTGGATTGAAATACAATGATGGTCAAGCACTGTCACTTTTTCTGAGTATTTATCTATTATATATGCAGACACAATCCATTTCCCAAGGTAAAACCTTAATTAATTGGAACTACTCCCCTACATTAACTTAAAAGTAGTAAACTAAATATTGCTTATGAATTTCAATTTTATGAGAAAGATTCCAAAAACAAGGCAATCCACCAAACATTTGGTCAAGTTATTAAAGTACATACCTATATCACAAGATTTGATGTTTTATAATTACCCAGTGATACCTCTACGGATCTATTCTATATACGGCCACATAATTATGAAGCGGTATCTACCAGGAATTTACTGGAATAGCAAAATCATAAAATAAAATCTAAATGTTTATTAAAATGGGATCACTTAAATACCTTATTAAAGTTCCATACAATAGAAATCTCTGCAGCCAGTAAAAAATAACACATTTTTTAAAGATTTTATTTATTTGAGATAAATAAAGCGGCTAGGAGCAGAGGGAAAGGAAGAAGCAGACTCCCCACCGAGCAGGGAGCCCGATGCGATGCGGGGCTCGATCCTGGGACTCCAGGATCATGACCCGAGCTGAAGGCAGTCGCTCAACTGACTGAGCCACCCAGGCGCCTCAAAAATAACACATTTATTTACAGATGGCACACAGTACGGCTTCGTGTATGTGCAGGCACATGTGCATTTCAAAGAAAAAAAAGATGTGTGTAGAACTTCAAGAAGTATACCCAAGAAATGGTTAACAGTGGGTTTTCCTTAGGTGGAACAAAGGAACTGTTATTTTTCCACTTTATATGCTCCTGTAC